CATGTATTTGATTGTGTTTATCTGCAGTTAGTTATTCGAATTCAGATATGGAATGAAATCGGATAGGGATAGAATCTGGTTTAAGAGTTTTTAAGAGTTTTAAGAGTTTTTAAGAGTTTTAAGAGTTTTTAAGAGTTTTAGCCAAATGCTTTATAATATAGTATAGATATACATTTGGTTCATAAAGAATTTAGTATTGATGTCTTAGAAATAATTAGAACTAAGGGATCGTTTACCTAAATGTTTACTCGATAAGTGTTTAACGTTAGGAGTCAATACTACAATTTATTTTATTGGGTAAGATTATAGTACATCAAAACGTATCATATGCAACAATTTACCTGATAAACGCTTACCCGGATAAGAGTCGTCACCTTCACTTACCGGGTAAGACTCTCCATGCTTATAATCGCTCTTACCAAGTAAGATTCTTGACCCTTGTCATGTTCATCCAGTGAGAAAAATTACCCGGTAAGTACTCACCGGGTAAACGTTTAGTAAACGACCACTAAGTTTGGTATACGTTGTCAATATTTGATGTGTTTTTATTTATGTTTGTTTTTAAGGGCAAGAGTGAAGTACGCAGAAGTTTGATGACCAATAATTGGAATTGAGGAACTACAAGGTTTGTTCTTCAACTTTCTTGGAAGACCAAGGGTACCAAAGCAAATAATGAGGAGTTCAAGGGCTACTATGACACTTTTGAAAATATAAATAGTCAACTTTTTTTATTTTTAATATGTCAAACTATGACCGATATGTGTAAAATGAATTGCAGTTTCCTCTTTTTTTTTCCCGATAATTTATAATCATCGACATAAGATATAAAATATAGAGAGAGAGCATTTGGTTCAAATACTAACCAAGATTTTTGTGTTAACTTTGTTAACCAAGCTCAACCAATCATATTTCATCTTTTCTTTAGGTTCACATATAACTCATATATTAATGATAAGGGTAATTAAGTAATTTGTCATTTATGTAACTTCCAAATCATTAATTGGGAGTTACAAATCTAAAAATCTCAATAATTGATGATTATGTAATATTGATATTTTTTATACGTGTTCATGTTTTGTAATTTTGATTTATTCTATCGATAATGATATTGATTTTGTAATTGTTAAAGAATTTCCAATTGTAAAGATTTTGATATCGTCCGAGTAATATGGATAAACCTACTGGAAAACAGATCCACAACAATGAGAATGAAAAGGTTAAAATCGTCTACAACTACAATCGAAAATCGAATTCATATGTAATTGTTAAAAAAAAGTTCACAAGTGTTCATATTGTGTTCATATGTACACTAGCTGCATATCTCAACATTGGCTTGCTACTGAATGTGTTCATAATGAAGAAACTATCATTCACAAACGGTTCATATTGTGTTTATATGTACACTAGCTGCATATCTCAACATTGGCTTGCTCCTGAATGTGTTCATAATAAATGAATTATTGTTCACAAACTGTTCATATTGTGTTCATATGTACACTAGCTGAATATCTCAATATTGGCTTGCTCCTGAACGTGTTTATAATGAAGGAACTATTGTTCACAAACTATTTATATTGTGTTCATACCTGTTTTTTTATTTATTTACTTTCGTGTATCAACTATTCTTATTATATTCATACTGTTTTCATAAATGCTATACAATCCAAGTTCATATATATGTCAATTTTTGTTCGTATTTGACACAATGGTTCATATATATATATATGTGTGTGTGTGTGTGTGTGTGTGTTCACATGGTTCTTACATTAACAAAAATAAATTAATAAAAATAATGAGATTTTTTGATTTGTAACTCCCAATTAATGATATGGGAGTTACATAAAAAAAATTACCTAAATACCCTTTTCCCCTTTGTTCACATATCTTCTTTGAAATTGTAAATTTAAAATTTTAATTTTTTATCATGATTAATCACAACCCTTTATTATAAGAATCAATGGCCAAGATTGGTTAACAAAGTTAACACAATAATTTTGGTTAACATTTGAACCAACCCCTATATATATAGGTGGAGGTTCAAACGAGAACACTTTCATTTTACGAGAACGCAAGAACATCTTTATCACGTGTGATAATACACTTGGTGGTGTATGGATGTCGTGCCTTGTAACTTAGGTCGAGCTTGGTCTTACTTCACTGTCGAGAAATGAAAGAAGACTTCCATCTCCAAGTTTAACTCAGACATAACTCCCTTCTTTTTGGGTGTGAAGTAGTGTCAAACAGCACTAAAGATCGTCTGAGTCTATGACTTAGTATCACATGTGATGATCTTGATTGATTATAGTATCACATTTATCACGTGTGATAGTACATGTGAGAGGGCTTAGTGGTGTAAGGGTGACTTGACAACATACATCATGTCAAAAGTCATCCACGTCTCTGATTTAGTATCACATGTGTATCATATGTAATTGAATAATAGTATCACATGTGATTGTTTATGGTAAAAGGTGTTCTTGCGTTCTTGTAAAATGAATGTATTCTCGTTTGAACTCTTTTATATATATATATATATATATATATATATATTATATATAGCAAGTAAGCAAAAGATGACTCTATAACATGTGAGCTTGGTATTAAAAATTATTGACCAAGCTTTTTGTAATGTTGGTCACATTTCAAGAAATATAAATTGCAATAATTATTTAAAATTATATATTCTAATAAATTCTTTTTATAATATTCAATCGAAAAAGAAGAGGTAACGAGTATTTGATAAAGTCAAAGTCCGCCTTAAGTTAACGAATAAAAAGTCAAAGATTTAAATAAAATGTACATCACAAGATGCAATAAACAAAAGAAGGAAAACAGCAACCAAAACGAAAAGGTGTTCAGATTTTGAAGAGTCAAATTTTACACACACCAACACCCATTTTTCAAAGTTCAAGAAATCTCTCAGAACCAAAAGAACCAGAAGTAATCGATTCATCTCTTCTCCATTTCACCATTTCTGTTCTCAAATTCAAAATGCTTATTCAGCTATGAAGCTTCTTTAATGGAGGACAGAAAAGCTAACATCTTCGCCCTTTCGTCCCTCGTCTTCCTCATCTCCGTCATCGTCGTCGCCCGGGTGGTTTTACATCTGTCCAAATCGTTTTTTCTCATCATCGGCGCCGCCGTTGCCGCTATCTTTGCCGTCATTACTTTCTATTTCATCAGGCGACATCTTCGCCATAGAAGACGTGTGATGGAGACTAGACTTGCTTCTGAAGGGAAAGAACTCCGAATCGAGTATAGCTTTCTCCGGAAAATTGCCGGACTTCCGACCAAGTTCCGGTACAAAGAGCTTGAAGAAGTCACCGATAACTGGAAATCAGTCATCGGAAAAGGAGCTTCTGCGTGTGTGTTTAAAGGGGTCATGAAAGACGGCACCGCCATCGCCGTCAAGAGGATTCAACATGAAGAGGAGAGGGGGGAGAAAGAGTTCAGATCGGAGATCGCCGCCATTGCCAGCGTTCAACACGTAAACCTTGTTCGTCTCTTTGGATATTGTATTCATAATAGTTCAAGGTTTCTTGTTTATGAGTTCATCCCGAATGGCTCGTTAGCCAATTGGATCTTCTCACGACCGGCAACCGCGAGGAACAACGGTTCCCGCGGTGGTTGCTTGTCATGGGGTCTCCGATCTGATGTTGCACTCGACGTCGCAAAAGCCCTCGCATACCTACACCATGACTGCCGTTCAAGAGTCCTCCACCTTGACGTCAAGCCGGAAAACATCCTCCTCGACGAAAACCACCGTGCCATCGTCTCCGACTTCGGATTATCGAAGCTAATGACACGAGATGAGAGCAGGGTTCTGACAACATTACGAGGCACAAAAGGCTACCTGGCACCGGAATGGTTGTTAGAACTGGGAGTAACGGAAAAATCAGATGTATTCAGCTACGGCATGGTATTGTTAGAGCTCATCGGCGGGAGGAGGAACGTGACGGTAATAGACGGTGGCAGTGAGCTTTCGAAGAGAAAGTTTCAGTATTTTCCAAAGATAGTGACGGAGAAGCTGAAAGCCGGGAGGGTCATGGAGGTGGTGGATCCACGGTTGTTGGATCTGGGAGGGATTGATGAAAAGGAAGTGAAGAAACTGGTGCACGTGGCGTTATGGTGCATACAAGAGAAGGTGAGACGGCGGCCGAGCATGGTGGAGGTGGTGAAGTGGCTGGAAGGGCGGGTGGCGGTGGAGGAGCCGCCGGAGACCCAAATGATAGTCGTCGATCTTTTGTCCATTGATGACGAGGATGGTGAAGGTGAAGGGCAAGGGCAAAACGGTAATAAAAGGAAAAAGCCAAAAGTAATTGCCAGAGTAGCCTCCCAATTGAATGGTTGTTTGTCTTCCAGTTCTTTGTCATCAAAATCATTTTCCTATTCAATGTCTATTATTTCACCAAGATAAATAAATTATTATTATTATTTTATGTGATTAACCTGGATATCCAATCTGTTATGTAAATCGATTAATCCCAAGACAATCATATTCTTTGTAGATAGTCCGGAGTTACTACATTTGAATCTTTATGGCCACAATTTATTATCTTGTAATAATAAAATGTAAATCATGAAACAAAAATTATACATCACTTTTGATTTTGGATTCCTTCAATTACTTTCCATAACACTTTATTCGTTAAAAGTTAAATAGAAATACAATATTCCTTTTTTATTTGCTTATTTATGTTCCGTTCTAATGATAGTGGAGAAAAGTTACTCGCTATTGTGGTTTGATTTGTGCCATTGTAAGATATTGTCTTCGAAAAATTGAGCGGCATCACTGACGGAAAAATCCGTCGAAAACAGTCATCAACGACGGATCTTATTGATAGAGAAAGTGTGGTCGATGATCATTATTACAGTCGGATTTTCAATCACCGATGGATTGATGGTCAATCCACCACAATATCTAAAATTACCGACAGAAAAATCCGTCAACAACCTTGTTTGGTTTTATAATATTTCGTATGAGCATTGAAATTTTCTAGATCCACTTATTTGAAAATTATGACACGTGAATAAACAAGGGACAAGACTTCGTTATATACCCAATCTACTCTAATCTCAATGACTTTTGATTGGTCGAGCTTCTTTTACTTGTACGTCTCTCTGTATATGTGACGTCAATCAAGATTCGTGCTTTTTATTTAATTATTACCCTTTCATTTATTACATCTTTGAATAATTGAATTTTGCCTCATGTGTTCTTATGCATTTTCTTTATATATATATATATATATATATATATATATATATATATATATATATAGGGTTTATTTCAAATACAACATATTGTATTTGTACAACCAATGCAACCTAATAAATTAAAATATTTATGAAAATGATTAGAGTTCATTTATTATGATTTAAATATTTATGAAAGATGAATACGGTTCATTAATTATGATTAATACTTTATATTAGAAAATAATCAAAACCTCTATAAAATCATATATTAATAAAATGAAATGGACGGTTGAGATTGAGTTGTATTGGTTGCGCAAACGACAAGAGTTGTATAATAACCAACCTATATATATATATATATATATATATATATATATATATATATATTAATTTAAGGTGTCATTTACCAAACATTTACCTTGGTAAGCGCTTACCAAGTTACTTTATTTTATCGGATGAATATGTCAAAGACTAAGGGGCCGTTTACCAAACATTTACTGGGTAAGTGACTACCGGTAAAATTTAACACCATTAATTACTAACCCGGTAAGATTTTAGTCTATCAAAACGACATTGTATGCAACAATTCACCCGCTAAGCGCTTACAGTGGTAAGAGTCGATCGCCCTCACTTACAGGGTAAGACTCATGGTCCTTGTCTCGCTCTTACCGGGTAAGATTCTTAGTCCTTACTATATTCATCCGGTGAGGTAATGTGACTTGGTAAGCGCTTACCCGAGCAAGTGTTTAATAAACGGCCCCTAAGAATCTTACCCGGTAAGAGGAAATGCAATAATTGAGAGTCTTACCCGGTAAATGAGGAGGGGGACTCTTACCATGGTTAGCGCTTACCGGGATAAATTGTTGCACACGTTGCATTTTAGTGAATAAAATCTTACCCAGTAAGTAAGTGATAGTGTTGAACTTTTTTACTGGTAAGTGCTTACCGGGTAAGTGTTTAGATAAACGGTCTCTAAGTATGAATGATGAAAGATCAAATTGCATAAAAGCCACTTAATTTTTAATTCGGTCACTCAACTTCTAAGAACATGAAAAAAGGTTATAAGAAAAATATCTATTAAGTGCAATAGTAACACGGAGTCTAGAAAACGTGTTATTTTGTTGAGTGTACAACGAGAGGTGAAGTAAGGAATTTATGATAGGAGCTCCGGAGTTTTGGAGTCACGCTTTTTTATAAAATAATAACTATAAATATTATATTCGAACAAAATAATTCTTCTGATAAACAAAAGAACTTGCATATTAGACTAAGGGGCCATTTACCAAACACTTACCTGGGTAAGTGATTACCAAATCATGTTACCTCACCGGAGAAATATGGTAAGGACCAAAAATCTTACCAAGTAAGAGCGAGACAAGGACCATGAATCTTACCCGGTAAGTGAGAGCGACGACTCTTACCACGGTAAGCATTTACCGGGTAAATTGTTGCATAGGATGTCGTTGTGGTGGACTAAAATCTTATCGGTACATAAATAATAGTGTTAAATTTTACCGGTAAGTGTTTGATAAACGATCTCTAACACATGAACCTTCCAATGGCCCGCCAATCCATTTTCTCATCGACTAATCTGTTGAGAATAAAACAATTATTAAGAACTTGGACATATACACCAAACAAACATTTGTTAATACAAACAATAAAGTTAAAAATTGTAAAAGATTAAACCTTGTGAATTTTACGTTGATTGCGTCTTTGTTTCATGAATAGAAATCATATGTTATCTTATCCATGGAAAAAGAAGTAGTAATATCCCTTTCATTATTAAGAAGCAAGCAACTTTAAAGAAATTCGTCATCCATGGTACTACAAAGTCTTGTCTTCACGATTTCATTGTTGAGAAAGCTCTTTCAGTTGTTGTAACAGAATCCGACAAAGTGAATATAAGACGAACAATCTGTCAACCGATGGATAAATTTTTGACTTCCCGGTTGCCTGGAGGCCTCTACACAACTGAGAAAGTATACAAGCATTTTTCAGTTGTGGATGATCAAGAACATCTAGATTATAATGTTGCCACTCAAGCTTCAGCTAAACTTGCTTTTGTTCTGTGAAATCGACAGGATGGTAAGTTTTTGCCAATTTACATATATCATCAAATATTGAAGGACCTTTTTGGATCCAGAGCAAGACTAAGACGAAGAAGTTCTATTACAGACTCAGTAAATCTAGAGTTCAACTCTTGCAACTGACTATCAATAGCAGCAATGAATACATCAACATGGTAATGATGCTCAACGGTCACATTTTCTTTCTTATGACGTGACCAAATTATATCTTTGTAAATTCCATTCATATCAAGAACCAAAATGCTATTACAGTTGCAAAAAGAAACAAATTTGATCCAAAAGTGATTCCCAACCTTCATTTCTAAGCTTCTGATTCAATTTTTTATAGTAGAAACCAAAGTCAAAGCATTAACAATATCTTGTGTTTTTGTTGTAAAGTTTGTCAGTTATATACAAATTGATACCAAAAGGTGAATTTCATTATGACAAATGAGGTTTACTTATACAACAAGAGTAGGACAAAAGAAAAGGAAGGAGACTACAATTGAGGGTTACACATGGAAAGGCTATATATAATGGAGAGGAGATCAAGGAAGTAATTATGGTTATATATAATGGAGAGGAGATCAAGGAGGTAATTATGGTTTCCAATACTCCCCCTCAAGTTGGCGCATGTAAGTTCCGAATGCCCAACTTGACAAGTAACGTTTGTAATAGGTGAGAACCAAGTGGTTTGGTAAGCAGTTCAGCAATTTGTTGCTTTGAATTGATGTTAACGGGAACAATCTCTTTTCGTTCAACTCGTTCACGAACAAATAAGCAATCCATTTCAACGTGCTTCATTCTTTCATGAAAAATGGGGTTGTTAGCTATATGTTTTGTTGCTTGGTTGTCGCAGAACAACAGTGTAGGACCAACCACCGCGACATCAAGTTCCTCTAACAAGCAACGAACCCATATAATCTCACTAACTGCAGTAGCCATTGCCCGATATTCCGCCTCGGTCGAAGAGCGGGATACTACAAACTATTCTTTGACTTCCAGGAATTGGGGCCCCCCCTAATAGGAGCATGTAACTCGACCTCAATCGCCTATTAAGTGGACATCCGAGCCAATCGGCATCACAATAAGCCACAAGGTCGGTGTCGTTTGTGTTTGGTAAGAGAATGCCTTGACCGATGGTGGTCTTAAGGTATTGTAAAACTCTGTTTGCAGCCTCCATGTGAACGCGTCGTGGGTCTGCAACGAATTGGCTTAAAATGCTTACGGAATAGGCTATATCTGGGCTAGTGACTTGTAGGTAAAGCAAGCGACCTACAAGTCTTCGGTATTGGCTTGCATCAATCTTTTCTTCTTCTTCTTCTCCTTTGTCAAGCTTGAGATTTGGTTCCATGGGGAACGAACTAGGCCGGCATCCCTTCAACCCACTATCTTCAAGAATGTCCAACGTGTACTTACGTTGGCTAAGGACCAGTCCTTCGGACGTTCTTGCCACTTCGATGCCCAAGAAATATTTCAAGGGGTCGAGATATTTTATGCTAAACTCATTGTCAAGATAGGACTTCGTTCTTTCAATCCATTTCATATCATTCCCGACAAGTATCACATCATCCACATATATAAGAGCCGCTACATATGCATCACCATTTTTGTAAATAAACAATGAATGATCGGCCTTAGATTGTTTGTAACCAACGCTAACAAGGGATTTAGTGAACTTGTGGTACCAATTCCGAGATGCTTGCTTCAGGCCGTAGATCGACTTTTTGAGTTTGCATACCCTTGTGTCGTCTTTGTTTGAGAACCCTTGAGGAATCTTCATATAAACCTCCTCCTCTAGGTCTCCATGTAAGAAAGCATTGTTAACGTCGAGATGTTGAATCTCCCATCCTCGTTTCACGGCAATGGCTAGGAGTGTTCTTAAGGTCACCAATTTAGCAACAGGTGCAAACGTATCGTGATAGTCCACTCCCTCCATTTGTGTAAAGCCTTTTGCCACGAGTCTCGCTTTATATCTTTTTACCTCACCATTCGGTTTGAACTTGACCTTGTAAACCCATTTTGAGTCGATGGCTTTCTTTCCTTTCAGTAATTGTTCGAGGGTCCACGTCCCATTTTGCTCAAGGACGTGTATTTCTTTCCGCATGGCTTCCTTCCAATTTTCGTTTTGGGCTGCTTGATGAAAGAATTTCGGCTCATCATGATTATTGATGGCGGATAAAAACGTTTTGTGAGTATTAGAAAAATGCTCATAAGAAACGTAATGGGATAATGGATGTACCGTCGAGGACTCTTGACTGGAAGCGGGTTGCGTGTGGTCGATGGATGGGGGAAGCTTTACTTGATAATCGTTTAAGTGCCTCGGTTGTGTCCTTTATCTCTTTTGTATTCTTTCTTTGGTTTCTTGTTGGACGACAGGTGGTTCCACATGATTTTCCATGTGCACGTCTTCAGCATGGGTATTACTCTCTTCGTCACCACTTTGCATGTTTTGCTCTTCTATGGTTTTGCTCTTCTTCAAGAAAGTTGTTCTTCCAAGACGTCTTCCATTCTATATGTTTGCTCCTCCTCACTATTTTGCATTGAAACTCCCCCTGTCTCCACATTCTTGACGGGTTCTTCATGTGATTCATCACATTGTGAGATAGGACTCAAGTACTCAAAGATTTCTTGCTCAAAATCTTTTGATTCCGTTTTTGAAAAAGGAAACATGTCTTCGATGAATTTTACGTCTCTCATCATCACCATTTTTCTTTGTTCTAGATCGTAAATTTTGTACCCCTTTTTGCCCGGAGGGTAGCCTAAAAATACCCCGGGTTTTCCTCTTGGTTCAAACTTATCTCCATTCGTTTCGATGTTCTTGTAGTAGGCTAGACATCCGAAAACCCGCATATGGTCGTATTCAGGATGTCGTCCGAATAGAGCTTCATACGGAGTTTTGTCATTTATGACTTTGGAGGGCAACCGGTTAACAATGTACGTAGCCGTAAGAACACACTCCCCCCAAAAGATCGTGGGAAGGTTTGCTTCAAACCGTAAGGCTCGTGCGATCTCTAAGAGATGCCTATGCTTTCGCTCAACTACCCCATTTTGTTGTGGGGTATGGGGGCAAGTAGTTTCCAAGACAATTCCTYGTTCTCTATAGAATTCRTTCATGTTGTTTGACAYRAATTCTCCACCATTGTCRCATCTAATTCWTTTGAYGCCCTTTYCAAATTGTGTTTTCACCATGTTGTAAAAATCAATTAGGCAAGTGCTCGCCTCGTGTTTGTGTTTAAGTAAATATACCCATACCGCCCTACTATAGTCATCGACTATCGTAAGAAAATAATTCRCCCCTATTAGTGACGGTCTCCTATATTTCCCCCAMACATCACAATGGATCAAATCAAAACAATTGGTAGTTTTAATACTACTAATTGAAAAAGGTAATCGAGTGAGTTTTGCCTTGTTACATGAATCACACACTTGGGTCTTAAAATTCGAATAAACATCTTTAAGGAAACTAACACGAGATAGCTTTACGTTGGATGCATGCCCAAGACGTTTATGCCATGCATCGATTGTCACCACCATCGCCTTCCTTTCTTCTTTTATTCCCCCCATCCAATAGAGACCACCACGACAATTACCCGCTCCAATCAAGCTCCCCGCTTTTAGATCCTGTAAAACAAAGAAATCGGGAAAAAATGTTACTGCACAATGAAGATCTTTGGTAAGTATCCGAACCGATAAAAGGTTGCACGTAAAATTTGGTACAAATAGAACTCCTTTGATGTTTAATCCTCCTTTGAAAATAACTTCACCTTTCCTTTTTACAGGGATTGAATCCCCATCAGGGATGGTGACCGGCCTTTCATTGGTGTTCATCAATAAACTTTCAAGAAGGTGCCCTTGGTGGGTTATGTGCTCGGTGGCACCCGAGTCCACAACCCAGTTGTCATTAGCTCTTATTCTACCTGCCATGTTAGCCACAACAGGTTCTCGGTTTTCACCAAACAACTTCAGGAAGCTAGCGTATTGCTCTTCCGTAATGCCCGGTATCGGGCACGGTTTTGTCTCCACCATGGCTGCCCTTGGTTTTGGTTTGTCTCTTTTTCCTTTGCCCAACCACCATTTGGGGTAACCGATTCTTTTGAAGCATCCATCTCGATCGTGTCCTTCTTTCCCACAATGACTGCAAGGTTCGGTTCGAGTGGTGCCCTTCTCGGTCTTTATCCACCCCTTTTCTTGTTGATTTCGTGTTTGATTTCACCTTCCTTGAAAACTAGCTTGAAAGGCAGCTACTTCGCGGACGGGTTTCTTTGAAGCGGTGATCATACGTTGCTGCTCATCCTCCGCCACGAGGTGATAGACGGTGCTCAGTTTTGGTGTCGGCTTCATGGCCAATATCTGCGTTTTAATAACGCTGAATAGGTCATCAAGCCCCATTAGGAACTCGTAAGTCCTCTCCTTTTCTTTCAGTTCGGTCAGTTTCTTTGCGAGCCCACACGAACAGCCATCACAGGAACATCGAGGAGTAGGAAGAATTGACTCCATCTCGTCCCATAAAACGCGGAGCCTAGTATAATAGGTTGATACGGTTGTGTCATCTTGTCGGGTGGTGTTCAACRACTGTTTTAGTTCGTACGCCTTGGGGGCACTMTYCTTTCCAAAACGTTCCTTCAAATCTTGCCAGATTTCTGTTGCTGTTTTTGCGTATTTCACACTATTRYGRATCTCTTTCTCCATAGYCGTGGTTAACCAACCTTTGATCATCRCATCKCAACGCATCCAAGGTAGGTATTTTTCGGATTCCACCTTTGGCCTTTTGATCGTGCCATCGATGAAGCCGGTTTTGTTCTTGGCGAACAAGAAATTCATCATCTCTTGTTCCCAATTGCTATAGTTCTTGTCAGTAAGCACTTCATTCACGTGCATCTGTTTCGGGTAGTCGGAAGCGTGTAGATAGAGAGGAGAGTTGTGGTCGATGGACTCTCCTTCATTCTTGTTCTTGGTTGCATCGTCGTCGTCCATAGGGATCGGTTAGAGTTTTCTTTTCTTTGGTTTCTGGATCGGACGCTCTGATACCATACACAAATTGATACCAAAAGGTGAATTTCATTATGTCAAATAAGGTTTACTTATACAACAAGAGTAGGACAAAAGAAAAGGAAGGAGACTACAAAATTGAGGGTTACACATGGAAATGCTATATATAATGGAGAGGAGATCAAGGAAGTAATTATGGTTATATATAATGAAGAGGAGATCAAGGAGGTAATTATGGTTTCCAATAAGTTATCCCATAATTTCTTTCATCACATCGATAACAATGACAAAATCAAATGATAATGCACGAGGAAGGGCATATCTAGCATTACCTCTTTGAGAATATGTGGATCCTTCAGTACCGATGTCATTCAAAACAACACAAGTCTGACCGAACAATCACATCAAGCTACATATTGATCTGTAATGGGAATTCCATCTAGTATCTCCGGGTCTTTGCAAAGTACGGATTTGATTTGCTCCTTTTTTAGTCTGAAGCTCTCCAATTTCAGTTTAATGCAAAATTTCTGCAATTTGAGAAGATAGCAAAATATAACATCATTTTTCTCAGAATATTCCAACCACCAAAAATTCTTAAACCAAGCTGCTTGAAAACTCTGCATATTACCGTTTAGATTGGTCAAACAAAAAGGATACTTTGATTTATGAAGTTGATATGGTCCAAGTTTAATGTATTTTCACTTAATTTCATCATGTTGGTTACTTGGATAACTTGCATGGACGGACCCAGAGGGGTGGTTGGGGTGGCATGTGTCACCGTATTTTTCCTCTGTGGTAAGGTAAAAAAAAAGTAGGTTCGTGAAAGGTTCAACCGTTTTGTTCTAGAAGGTGCAACCGATTTGTTCTAGAAGGTGCAACCGTTTTGTTCTAGAAGGTGCAACCGTTTTATATGGTGCCATCGTATCCAAAAATTCTTGGGTCCGTCCCTGATAACTTGGGATTGAAGATTGTATGGTATGCCCCAATCACGAATCAAAGAATCTATGTTGACATTCCCCAAATTTGACACACCAATCTTTTCATGCTCAACTCTAATATTCGCTTCCATATTAATAACATCCACAAGATTATCATTGTTAAGATTTGGTTGTGGTCATTAACAAAGCCTTCTTTTTGTTTGGAAAAAGAATCGATGGTTCTTTTCTTACTCATGATTAAACCTAAAATCATAAGAAATTTTGAACTCCATCTTCCGAAATTCATATAAATAATACTTTACGTATATGATATTCAAAATTCAAAACGAATTAAAATATCTCAACATCAACATTTACATTTAATTAAACCAGGGTTTGAGTTTTTTTACAACAAAAACTAAACATATTAAAAAAAAATAAACATTAGGTTACATAATTTATAATTACATTGTAACACCCCAAAATCTGTTAGAAAAACGACTAATTTAATTTCATTATACATCAATTAAGAATTAAAATCTTTTCTATCGGTCAACACTTGATTACTTAAAGTAGTAAACCAAGGTTTAACATCAATAGAAGTACAACCTAAAACTTACTCAAGTCTAGGTTAAGGTCGGGTATTTTTAAAACTCCATAATAGTCGTAGCCTCTAACGTACAGAAGAAATTCCAAACTTTCTACTATTTCTCGTGCCTCTAACGTACAGAAAACGTTTCAAATTTTCTACATCTTTCTTGTGCCTCTAACTAGCACTCAACTCGTCATAGTGTCGCTAACATCATTCCCCACCAAGGACCTAATGCACATGCCAACAAATAAAAGGGTTAGACTTAACGCCTAGTGAGTTTAAACACTTTTCATCTTTAATATAAAATGGTATAACTAAAAAGATGTTATTTTAAATCACAATTTCCAAAGTGAAATGTATTAAATATAAAAGCAACATCTTTTCCAAAACCCACCATTTTCGTGATGAAAACTTATTGGTCGAAACACTTGTTTAACATAAAACGGAAACCCAATACTCACAGAAAATGCAAATAAGGCTTAATATCTAAATACTGAAAAAACATAGATGAAGTCCATTATCCAAAACACTAAAACATGAATAAGTTCCAAGATATCAAAATCATAAATTACGGATACACTCCATACCCCAAAACAACATCGAAAACATGAATAATATATTATCCCAAATTACACCTTTCGGCGATGGGGGAGACCCATATCCATTGAACGTGGCAAAACATAAAAATAGGCCATGTATCAACTTTAGCGAACGACACCTCAGATCCATTGACTTTAGTGCACGCTATATCAAACGTCAATTCAAGTTCTCGATACCTTTAGTGCACAACCCATACTGGCATCACCTCAAGGTCATGGTACCTTTAGTACACATTCCTCATTGAGCTCACATGAAGGATACTAGATCTTAGTACCCATTCATTATATATCTAGTAGATTTCTAACCTCAAGGTTCTCATTCGACCATTAGTGTCTACTCACTAACATTCAAGATAGTAACCTCAAAACTTCTTACTTATGACACAAAGCATTTAACCCTCATGCACAAGGTTTAAAGCATCAAAACTACAATACTCATGGTCCCGAAGTCCGACTCATAAGAGTTCACCTTCGTAATACCGAGACAACCACCATGCCTACAAGAGTATCGGCACAAAGTGAGGACATCAAAACTCCTCACTTATCAAACATGATTGACTTATATGCCTATGGATCAAAGGCATTATAGTCAAAATGACATATCCCCAATTGAATGACCAATGCACTCAAAGCATGTAATTCTCAAATAAAGATGTTATAAATGCAAATCAAACCAAAACTCAATCGATAAGCAAATTAAACTGGACAAAGGTCCCTAAATCTCAAATGGGCCAAAATCAAGCCAATAACACCACACTTATTTGAGTATTCAAATAAAAGCCAATCATAAACAATAAAAGGCATTTAACCTACATTTATACAAACACATGCTCTAAAATATGATTGACTCAAAAACCTCTCATTTGTTGAGGCAAATCATTTTCCAAATGAAATCATACATTTTCTATTTCCGAAATGCCTTATAGCACAATAATGTGCATTTTCAAATGGTTTATAAAACCAAATACACTAAAGATGAATTAATCATAAGTTAGTTACTCCTTATACAATAAATCATCAACATAACATACCCATTAAGATTTATTTATCAAAATTTTCAAAAATCCCAAATATGAGCATTTCATAAGATTTATAATCCAAATACACTGAAGATGCAAATCTCATTAAATAATCAAGTCATTTGATAAATATTAAGAACGTGCATTTTTGGCATGTACAAAGTTTTAACAAAACAACTTGAACTTATCTTGCTAGGTTAAGTTAGACCTAGTTTTCAAAACTCAAGTTCTAACTTTCAAAATGAAGACTTGAAATCCACTAGTGAAAACCTTCCAAGATAAACTTCTTCACAATCATTTATCAAGCCTAACAAAGCACCAAATATGAATACAAAGCTCATATCTACAAAACCCCTAACCAAAACAGAAAAAATCCAAAATCTTACCTCATCAATAATCTTGAAGATCCCAAGGTTAGATTCTAAAATGAACTTCTCTAGGTACTCCAAGCTCCTCCCATGCTCCAAAAATCGAACCTTAAGCCCCACAAGTCAACCAAACTAGAGAGGGATTGAGACAAAATGAAAAGAATGGAAAATGAGAAAACCCTAGTTGAAGCCTTTAATGACGATATGGGCACGAATGCAACTTTGGGCGAGGCTAAACTCGTGCCAAGAGTCTCTCGTACCAAGAGTCTCTCGTACCATTTTCCCTACAAACATACGTTAATGCGGGTTATGGTGCGGGTAAAACCTCTTGGGAACCTGCATTGCCTTTTAGTTGACGCCCAAATGTCTCTTTCTTAGTCTTAACATATAAATTCAACCAACATCTTTACCACCACAAAATCACATTTGCATATAACAAATATTTCCATATATCAAGAAATATAATTTACACAACTGTTGGTCCCAGCCGAATCTATAATAGTTTAAAGGTAACAATTTGTAGATGGGGGATGAATACAAACACATAAATTTTCACTTTTAAAAATCATTTATTCATAAAGAAGATCAATACAAAATTTTACAGATTGTTTGCGGAAAAGATAAGATACAGAACTTATCTAAACAATCAAAGAAACACACAAGATACAGAAAACAAGAAAGAAAAGACTTGTTAAAAAGAAAAGGTTAAGAGGTCTTATGCTTGGGAAGAAGCCTTTTGCTTAGGTAGAGAGTTGATCCTCAAGAAATAAGAATTCTTGGCAATAATTTGCTTTTTCTGGTTGGAGTGAGATACGGAAGATAACTGAGAAGGAAGAGTTTCTCAGCTATTTATACATGTTGCATAAAATGCAAGTCAGATGGTATAAAGCATGGGGCAAGCTTCTAGAAGTGAGCTTATCCTTTGTTCCAGATATATAGGCTTTTGCCGTATATGAACAATAGTCTTTAACAAAGTAGGTAAGCACGCTTGGAGACTATAGAGCGACTCCGTATAGTACTTTACTTTGAGAGGTATGGTTTGTCCTTTGTGTATAGAAGGACAAGACAAAAACTAATCTTGTTCAACAAGATTCATTTGGTCGTTGACACTGGAATAACTCTGAGGTTTCTTCTGTGTAAGTTGAATGTTGAGTAAATTTTACACTTGTGTAGACAGGCTTGTTATCACTGAAAATCGATCCAGATCATGAATTTGCTTGTCTCTGTCTTCAGCTTTGTCTTCGAAATCGCTGAAGGTTCTGTGGTGTGATTTTGTCTTCCTGAGGAATACTTATCTCTGAGATAATTACAATACATGTTCAGTGATACACTGAACAGACTCAATGATGATCGCTAAAACTGAATACAAAGATAGTACACTTCGTAAGATAAAAAGGATTATTATCAAATCACCGAGAGAGGGGATCAACAACAACTGGTCCCCTAATTCCAAAAGTTACATTACAAAGTAGCTACCAAAATTTTCCACAATTTCTCTATTTAACACTTGAATACATAACAAGTATCCAGATACAAAAGAAAATTATGCTTAGCCCAAAATCCCATGTAAGCATAATAATAACATTTCACAAATTTCCCTTCCCCTTATCCTCTGGTTGTGCCAACCTGTAATGCACATTTTTTAAACACAAAATGAGAGTTAGACCTTGAGGTTTAGTGATAAATCCCTTTAATACAATTACAGGGTGAGAAATCACCAAATCACATTTATGAACTTATATTTGTAATAATAACAAATATACATCATTTTGATATAACAAACCTTATATATCGCAATCAAATACCCAATAATTCGATAAACACATTATGAGTAAAACTTGTCGCATCATATAAAAGGTTGCATAAATTTCTCGCATCACATGGGTGAGACAAACCCATTTTCTCACAACACACTGATGCGAGAACATCAACTCATCGCATCACACTGGTGCGATAAACCCAACTTATCGCATCATATAGGTAGCCAACTTGTGATGCGACAAAACTCACTTCTCGCATCATACTGGTGCGATAACCACACTTCATCGCATCAATAGGATGCGACAACTTTAAGTTATCATATTACAAAGATGCGACAACTCTAATTTATCGCATCATAAGGATGCGATAATTATGAATGTTTGATCAAAACCCATATTTTATAACTCATGATGATTTTGCCACCCTTATCATGATGTACACCTCTCCTTGATCTGTCACCTTTATCCCAATATACACCTCTTCTTGATATGTCACCCTTATAACCAAAATACACCTATATTTAATATGTCACCCTTATTCGCACAAATGATATAATCATAACAAAACCCCACAATTATGCTAATTATAGCATCGAAAACATTTTTATAATTAGCAACTCATATAAAGAACCATACAGTTCTACACCCAATTTCCAAATAAGGAAAGATGGAAGAAATTTAAACTCACCTTATGAGTCACATAGATGATATGAAGATGAGATAACAACACGTATCTAGACAAATAATCACATAATTCAACTTCTTATCTCTCTTTTCTTCGAACTCTAGAACATACATACACACAAAAAACTTATAAATCTTTCTTTTTACCCTTTTATACCACAAAACCAATGAGATAATAAAATTATCTTGTTGTAATATATATATATATATATATATATAGTAAGCTCGTGAGACGGCGATGATTTAAAAAGAATTTAGGCACATTGACACATTAAACCTCTCCATTTACCATTACCTTTCAAAATATTAACAGGAAGGTACATTGTATTTAAGTAAAAAGAATTAATCAAAATTCAAAAGTAGAAATAAGTACACTACTACATAGTCCTAAAATGAACTTGAATCAATATTATCAAGTCTTCAAAGTAGTTCATTTCACTTCAAAATTCAAAGTCAAACTTTTCTTTATTTCGTTGTGTAAATTTAAAAACAAATAACAAATGGTTACATGAAGGCAAGAATAGTTTGATTTACAACTTTATTGGTAAAATCCTAGAAGCTATAATATTGTAAAATAAATTCTTTGCAAAAAACCATTTAAGACTTTGTAAAACATAGAGCTTCAAATTGAAAGGAATGAGCCTCAATCTAGAAGTCTGTAAAGCAGCCATTAACATAAAGGTTACCTCCATGCCTGGATGATGAAATGCTTAATTTGTCAAAAACTAGAAGAAAGAAATATACTAAACTCAATAATACAAAGCAAGTAATGAATTCTCCATCTCAAAATAAAAGGGTATAATTGGAAATTAGACACTAAAATAGAAATGTGGACACTCATTTTAGGACGAATGTAGTAATAGCAAAATGAGTGAGAATACTATCTTCTTGATCTATGCATACGAACATCATAAGATTATAAATATACCTTCTCCATTGGCGAGTCTAGCATCATCCTGATCTATGCATGCCAGCACAGCCAGATCACACAGGAGACCAAAACCTCCCATCCCTCACAATGTGAAACAAGAACAGTGAAAGGTTTCCAAATCAGTAAGTTTTAGCACATCTAAATCTTATATAACTAAAAAACAACCAAATTACATCTCAAGCTCAGAATTTGCCATTACTTACTATAAACAAGTGAAAGATGAACACATGTTATGTTTGGAAAAGAAGTAATCAAACTTGCTATGAATATTAGGAACCACAATTGAATTAATACCCACTAACTGAATCAGTTATGTGAGAGGCAACTTTTTCCTTAAATCATTAAAAATACTTCACCAAATCACTAAAAATGATTCCAAAAGAATTAACAAAACATATGAGATTGATAGATGAATGAAGTAATCTATATACCATTTTTAAGATAAGGGTGGTATCTTGATGTCATCAGGGCCTGACGCCCAAAAAAATGTTCTAATCAGCAACAATCAACAAACCATATTTGTAGACATGACGACCACCTAGAGGTACCACATTAAATGTTGAAGGGCATAGCTTCAGATATGTACATCTTGATGGATTAAAAGAGACTTCCCTTTGAAGAAACCCCTTCAAATACGTATAATGAAGAATTCAATTCCATTAGACTTCCCCTTGAAGAAACCCTAACAATTGAGATGGAGAAGATTGAATTGCAAGGGTGAGAATGGAGTGGATAAATAAAGATGAAGAAAGTACCTGTCAGTCTTCTTGAAGTAGAAGATGCCTTCCTAGCCCTTTGATGCATAAGGTCTCGAACTACAAAAAGTTGTAAAATAATACGTATTCAAGAGAAATGAGAAGAATCAGATGGGATTTCCCGTATAAGAGAGTGAGAGCATTCCATTTCTAGTTTGGGGGTGGGTGAGGGGGAATGGAGAGAAATTAGGGGCGATTTTGGTTTGGGAGGATGGTGGATGAGGGTAATTCGACGGGACGTGGGTTAATCAAAGAAATTTCAGGAGTTTAATGTTTCATATGCATTAGATGGTTGTATATCATGCAAGAATACTTATACCTCTTAAAAATTCAAGAAAACTGAAACTGTAATTAAAGTGTGTTAGGTACAAAAAATATAAACCGCACACCGTATAAAAAGCACCGAACATGCATTAGATACAAAACACATGAACCACACCAAATGATTGAGATCGAGTTCTATTGCTTCAAAGATCAAGGTGCAAACATATTTACGAAAGCCCTCCAAGTTGTAACTTTAACCGTTTGAAAGAAGATTTAGGAATGGCTCCCGTCTAGCTTACAAGGGAGTGTTGAATGGTAAGTTAAACGTAGTTTCTAGTATTATAAGTTAAATCTGAACAGTGGTCTCTCAAGGGGACGTTATGAACCGTTGCCTTCCCAAAGGGTATGGTAGCTATGGTCATTTGTACACACACACACACATATGCATATATATTTATGTAAACTGATGTAATCTTTGTGAATAATAAGAAGGATTGAATCATTTCAAGTTTATTATCTCTTTGTATTACTCTCTCCTATCCCACACCTCTTACCAAGGTAAGAACCTTTTATTAGATAATAGGTGGTAAGAGGTTGATAAAAACATTGTGTAAAAGAACCAACCATAACATACCTAATTGATTTGATTTTTGTTGGAAAGTAGCTTATAGGTTTTAGGAGGACCGAAAATGTAATTAAGCTAAAGAACGAGGTAGTCAAAAGTCGAATTTACCAAAAAAATGTCTCTCATTTGTAGCAGAACACGCAAACACGCACCGTTAAGGGCGTGAAAACTTGTGTACCAGAGGTCCCATTGGTGTCTCCGTTCTACCATCTGCAGGTACTTGCTGATCTTAAAATCCCCAATTTTCTTCTGCAGATCTAATGATTTTACTTGCGATATTTGATTCAAAAATGGTTGATGCATACTGCTAAGTTTTATGTATATGTGTGATTAGATATGATAAAGTTCAGTTTTGATGAGTTTTACGAACTATTGTCCTTTTTCCTTGAGTAATTGACAAAATGAAGCGATTCATTACTAATTTCATTCTGAAATTGTCCATTTAAGGAAATTTGTGGTCAAATTGGTTTATTTTTACCTCAAAATTGATGAGGATAAGTTTGGGTATAGAGAGGAAACTCTTCCGATATCAGATTATACAAAGCAATACATAAGCGTCAGGCGCTTAAAGAATAAAACTAAAAGCATAAATGTCATTTTTTGTAATTCGAGAATGACTAGGTTTTCGATGATGAAGTGATTCTAGTTACGGGAGGACCGGAGGAGGGTTGTGAAGTTTTCTCCCTGCCCCCCGTTAAAATTGCAAATATTTGGATTTCGGGATGTCCATAATATTGTTAACTTTTCTTTTTGGGAAAACTTTCAAATTAAAACTTACATATTTGCCCATTTGTTATCGTTACAATTAGTCCAAAGATTTCTCTATTTTGTCCGACATCTTAGATATTTGGCTAAATCAACAGCTTTTACAAGACCAGTGTCTAGTGAAACTATATGTTTAGGCAAACTTTGTTATTTTTCATGAGACATAGTAAGTATGCATATTGTTTTAAGTGGCAGATGGTATTTTAGGCTTGCAAAATTATGAACTTTCTAATTGGTAATCTAATATACTTGAAGAAGTAATGTGCTTATTTAGAACATACTGAGTCATTAAGATAATCAATGTGGCCTCCACAGATAATTATTTAGAAGATGGTGGTTGTATTGATTTAACATAACACCCTTCTTGTTGTCTAAATCTGAATTGAAGAACTTGTCTATCGACTATATTCGTATTAGTCAAACCATGTCTCTTATTTTGAAATGGAGGTTGTAGAATTGTAATGATATTATCAGATGAAAAAAAAAACTTGAAATTTGGTTTTAGTTTGTTTGATACATGATAGTAAAATCCAAGATACAGGATTTGAGTATTGAATAGCTAGAATCATTGTGATTGAAGTAAAATGAACATGCTTCGAGTATTTTTCCTGTGTCATGCGTTATAAAGGTATTCTTTCAGTTATGTATGCCACAGAACTGGTTTCTCCTGATATAATGGTTGTATTGGAGTTGAAGTCAGATGTGTAGAGTTTCTTCATCGCAGGTTTTTTTTTGGTGGCTGCTGTAGCTGGCTGCATATCTGTGATCACTAATATGAGTTTCAGTGGCCCCTCTATCGGTTCTGGTTAGTTTTTTCCCCTCTATAACTTTTTTACTTTTTGCAGTTCGTTTGCTCTTCTTTATTCTTTTTGGTTCTCTATTTGGTTCCAACTTCCAGGAGTAGGAAAAATTTGCAAGCGAAGTTTGTGACAGTGAGTTTTTGGCCCATCGATGGGGGTTGATCCATTTTAATAACAAATTTGTTTTACTATCAATAAATATTTTCGTTGTTTGGGTTTTTGAATGTTTACCTCTGTCTATCAATAACTCTGCTTCTTAATTATCCTTTGTAATTTGTGGTTCTCTATCTCTCCCCTTCTCCTCCCCCCCCCCCCCTTTTTGATTCAATTTCTATCATAGGTGGTAGAACTGCCAGAAGGGCATTTGAGTTTGGACGGACATATGTGGTGAAACCTAAAGGCAAACACCAGGCAACCATTGTCTGGTTGCATGGCCTTGGTGATAATGGTTCTAGGTAATATGGTTTTCATGTTTCTTCTCTATATGGTTATATCTTCATAATCTTTATTGTCTTACTGAAGCAGTAATTTACGTTAGTTGCTAATAGTTCTGATACACCTATATTTTTCTTGAAATTTCCTCACCTATTTGTTTGCTGTGTATCTTTTAGATTGTATCATATGGATTGTAAGTCAGATTCAATACCTGAGTATTTCATATTGTTCCCTATCATCCTATGATTGATTTGCAATATTTGTAATCAGATACTGGTCATACTTTTTGTTAAAGATTGGGGGGGGGGGGGCTCCTGAATTTGAACTAGAGCAGAATAGGCACAAAGAGCATGAACAGCTCCACAAAAAGGTGTATTGCATAGGCCTTACTACCCTTGGTTTTGTCCTCTTTCCACTCTCATTTTTCTTTCTTTTAAGTTTTCTGCCATAGATACATTCAGGCCGGCTGGTGTGAACAGTATTTGCTTCCCCTGTTTTGTTGTTGTTCTGCAATCCTATTCTTCAAGTCTAAATTTCGAGTTACTTTAACGACTTTTGTCTAATGTTATAAGCACATAATGATTTTTGATGAACAACCTCAACGATAATGGATTTTGCAATTCTCACTTGGTATACTTGTAACTTCTAAGGTCCATCATCTTCCTCTATCTGTAGATCATCTTAACATGAAAATCTTATTGTGTTTATCAGATTAGTTGTCACGAGGGATTGAGAATTTTCTACTTTGGAATTAAGTTTTATAGCTTTTTGCTATGATATCAATGGTGTCACAATTGTGTTTTTGTGTAGCAAGATCTTTGATGTTTCTTAAATCATCTAAGTCAAAATACTATCATTACCATTACAAGTCTCTCTTGTGTATTTTGCTGGAGATGACAGGGAGGCTTTAATCGTCAACTGATTAATATAACTTGAGTAACAATTAACATTATGCTTTATTATATTCACCTTTCCCCATCTTACCACTACACCGTTGCAAGAATTTTACCTGCAAGAGTGTGATAAGGCCACATTTTTCATGCCATTCGTAATTATACAAATGTCTATGTTACCTGAAAGATTGCTTCTAACTGCATATACAATGTCTCAGTTTTTACTTATGTTTCTATATGAATACAACATCAGTTAATGGCAACTGAAATCTGTGTACTGTCTTTTCATATCTGTTTCCTTCTGGCAGCTGGTCCCAGCTCTTGGAGACCCTTCCTCTTCCAAATGTAAGGACAAGTTTATTGTAAGATTACTTTAGATCTTTGAAGGAACGCTAATAAGAGTCTAAGGTCTCCTTTGATGACACTTTTGTTTTTATGTTTTTACATTTACGTATTTTAAGAAGTGAAAACTGAACAGAAAATGGTTTTGCAAATTTTTTCATTTTTTACAAACCACAACGAGTATATAAAATTTGCAATTTGTTAACATGATTTTGATGTTCAGTTCACAAAATTCCCTTACAAAAAAAGTGTTGCCTATTTGATTTTAATAAAACAGAGCTTTCAAATCTAGTAAAACCCACTATTTATTAATGAATTTACATTGTCATCCTATTTTATAGAGAAAGGAAACAGTCTTTGCCAAATGCGTTTTGATTTTCTTGTCAAACTTAAATCACGCTCTATTACATGACAAAATGTGAATAATAAACAGAAAATGTAATTCTTACCAAATTAAGCCACGAGATTGACTCATACAAAGATTCTCCCTTTTCATGTTAATTTGATAACACTTATCTTAATTACATGTGCTGTAGATCAAATGGATATGCCCCACGTCACCTGCTCAACCATTAACCTTATTTGGCGGCTTTCCCACCACTGCATGTACGTTCTAAGTGCTTTGGCAACCCTGATTTATTTATTTTTGACATCCTAATGTAACATTGTTTTCCTATGGGTGGTGTGCTTTTTGATAGACCTCATTAGTTAGTGCTCCTTTCTCAACTGAAATTTTAAGTTTTGACATGCATGAAATATTAAGGTCGGTATCATGGATGTTAGGGTTTGATGTAAGTGATCTCTCCGAAGATGCACATCAAGATGTAGAAGGGATGGATGCTTCAGCAGCACATGTTTTAGGTCTGCTGTCTACAGAGCCTCCTAATAGTAAGCTCCAAAGCTCTCTCTTGATCGATATATTTTATGTAAAATCTTGCCTTGAAGTGTTCTCATCTCATTGTATTTTTATATCCTCATGGTGGCTTATATAAAGTCATTAGCACTACTATTTAAATGTCAAACTAGAAATGAAGCAAATTTATGAACTTTGTTCAATAAAAAGTCCAAAAGTTTCAAACCCACCAATCACCGTCCCCTTTCAAAGGAAGGGTTATTTAGAAGAATAACCTTCTCACAGATTTTTTTTAAATGCATAACCTTTTTCAGATTTTAAGAACGCCTCTGTCTAACACAAGAATGTCTCGTCCTCACACAAAATAGCCTCAAACTCCGTCAAAAAGTTAAATAACCCTTAAAAAGGAACAAGTAAAGAGAAGAAAAACAATGAACGTGCTGGTTTTTTAATGGGCCTTAACCATAAACAAAAGATAGCTTTTGTAAGGGGAACAATTTATTTCAATTTTGATGGTTATGATGATGTTCTTATGTCGTAATATATTCTTCCACTTTGCAGTCAAACTTGGTGTAGGAGGCTTCAGTATGGGCGCAGCAACTGCTCTATACTCTGCAAGTTGCTTTAGCCATGGAAAGTTTGGGAATGGCAACACATACTCTACTCATTTGGATGCAGTTGTTGGTCTTAGTGGCTGGCTTCCATGTGCAAAGTTCGACTGCTCACTGTTTTTCCTTCATCTCCTCCCATTTAGTATCTTACTATTTTTATGACAGTCTCTCCAACTTTCTAGGGACCTGAGTAAGAAGGTCGAAGGGGAAGAAGCCGCAAATCGTGCATCATCCTTGCCCGTTTTGCTCTGCCATGGCAAAGGTAAACGCTTTTAATGTTATAGTTCTTGCAGTTGAGCATCAATTGGTACTATACACGGGTTTTCTTTTCTGTTTGCATCTATATTCTCATCTCTGTTCGACCACTAGTACCTCATTCCTAGCATATTGCAACCCCATATAAAATTAAAAACATAAAAGGTAAAAGTAATTTGTTTTGAGGGATTTATAGCCATTTACTTTTTTGTGACAAATGAAAAAAGAGATGGTAATTGTTTTATGGAGTTCAAAGCCTGAACCTTGGTGTAAGTCAAACAGTCAACATGTGTTTTTTGTAACCGTTGCATAATCCATGAAAACATAAAATACAACTACCTCTTGCGAGATCTTTGTAAATGCTTTTGGCCTTTCAAGAACAAGAATGGATGCCAAAGAACATAGAAAGTGCAAGTGGTGCTGAATGTTTCAGTGGCTGTGCTATCTTCTTGGCTTTCTAGATGTACAGCACCTAACTGGCCCTTGGCTTCAGAAAAGTACATGAAAGTTTCAATATGGAATTCACATATTTTCCCATTTTAATTTACTTGTTCATCGTTAGAACACATTCTAAATGTCAAACATATAACAAACAATTATAAAACTACATATATGCAGTCAGTTGTTAATAACTTTGAGCTAGTAGGTGAAACTTGACCTTACTTAGGAACTCGATATGCTTTTGCTTAGTTTATGATGTGGGTAATGAAGGAAGAGTAGTAATTTTTGGTGGAAAATATGATGGCAGCTGATGATGTGGTACGGTTCCGTTATGGGGAGAAATCAGCCGAGAAACTAAGTACAACAGGGTTCAAAAGCCTGACATTCAAAAGCTATGAGTCGTACGTAATCTTCTTGATAAAATGTAATTGTATAGTTTAGTTTTATTAACAAGAAGATTGAAAATAATATGTGTGCAATGAATATAACAGGCTTGGGCACTACACGATCCCGGAAGAGATGGATGAGGTGTGTTCGTGGCTAACTTCAAAACTAGAGCTGGAAGGTGGTAAGTCGTAGTAGTTTACTTATTATTACATGATTAGGTAAAGTATGAGTTTGATGAGTATTAGTTGGA